AGAACTTTTCTAATAAGTATTTTGCTCTGTTGTTTAAAATATTTTGTGCTTGTACTCATCATTCTGTTTATTTATTTTCTTGATCAATAGGAGGCCATAGCCTGGGAATTAGTAGTCTAGCCTATAACAAAACTTGAATACTTAACCTCTTAGTCTAGCCAACTTCACGACCTCCAATTAATTAGGCTTGAACCCTTTGTCTTATCATTATTTTCTTCTAATGTCTCAAAAAATAAATTATTGTATAAAATTTAGTTGTGGAGCCAGTCTTTTATTGGTTAAACAAGGAGGCAGCATAAATTTCAATTATTGAAAATATATAACCACAAAATAATTTGTGTATTAACATAAAATAATTTGTGGGTCCACCTCTTCTATGGGTGTTGGGAGGGCTATTAGATTTTAGATTGCCCTTTGGGGGTGGGGGGCACTGTCACGACCCAAACCCGCTCCTATAGGTTTAGCGTTGTAACGGGCTAGTAATCTTTGGATTACCAAAGGACTCTGAACAGAATAACTTATAATTTGTGGTTGCGGAAGCAAATATAAAAACATACATAGTCCATTGAGCTGTGGAGACATATATGGGATAGAAATTTTAAACCTTCTACACATATACGTGATGTCATAATGCAGGTCTTACGTCACATTCATTACAGATATAGCCAAAAGGGACTTAGCTCAATATACAGATAACAGAAAACTTATTCATAATTCAAAGAAGACAAGGTCTTAAGCATAAGCTATTTAGACTTGACTCGCTCACAAAAGGGAACCTCCTCAGAGGCTCAACGGCTGGCTGGCAAAACTAAGACACCAGGTCCTCAACTCTGATTTTGGTCACACGCCTGGTCACCTACATATATAACACAAATAGTGAGCGGAAGCCTAGTAAATAATAACAGAGTAAAAAGTTTAAATGAATGATGTCCGTCGTAGATACAACTTTCAAATCTCTTATTGAACAGAAGCATAAACATATTCATATCAGAAACAGAGTCATAAGCATATTCATATCATGAGTGGTGCATCAGTTAGCAATAAACTTATCTCTTTGGTCAAGCATATTAAGTTCCACATTGGAACCTCCGGTACCGGGTAACATATCACATGGCGAGGGTCTATGCCACGGCATTATTTCCCCTGAGCGAGAGCCTGGGCCATGGTATTGTCTCCCCTGGGTGAGGGTCTCACAACCATAAGCCACAATATTACGTCCCTTGGGCGAAGGCCTCTGCTAAGGATACCACAATTACATTTCACAGGAGTGGATCATCATTCATGTAATCACATCATTTTCTTTTCTATCATTCGAAATAAAACCATTCTTATCATATCAGAATATTCAGAAGTATTTCATATCAAACATAGCTTTACTAAGTTATTACTCACAAATAGCTTCACAGATAGCTTGGTAGCAAACCAATGGATCAACAGCTTAGGGTGCCTGACTTACATCAACATAACAGATACATATACTGAAACACACGCTTGGATTGCACATAACTCATTTTATTTTGTTGTTAGTGTGTTTCTAGCTTTTACTCTCATCATTGTGTCTTAATCTTGGCCTAGGAATGCCTAGGATGCAATGAGGATGCCAAAATGCACTTGGAAACACTTAACAAAACTTGCTGAAAACAGGGGTCCCGCTCGAGCGCAACTTCCCTCGCTCGAGCAGACATGCAAACATGTGAGGGGTTGCTCTAGTGCATCTTCCTTCGCTCGAACGATCTGCAAACTCTGAAAAAGTACTGGTTGTGTGAAATCTCCGCTCGACGGTCGCTCGAGCGTGAGACTGATGTCCCCGCTAGAGCGTAGCTTCTGTCGCTCGAGCGGTCTGTAAAATGTGTTAACTTCTGGGAGCTTGCATATCTTACTTGAGCGAACTTTTGGTCGCTCGAGCGGAAGTGCCAGATCACAAAGTGGTCGCTCGAGCGTAAGTTTTGTTACTCAAGCGGGAGGTCGAATTCTGGAATTTCCAAATTCACCTCCAAGCTGTAAAACTCAATTTAAAAGTTGCAAACCATGGTTTTTTTGCCCAAAAACTTGAGGAAACTTATATAAACTTGGAAAACATGGTGAATTAAATATCATTTCACAAAATCAAGGCCTAAAAGCTTGCCAATTGTGCAAAACAACTCTTCACTTCTTTGAAAACATAGCATGTATAACATGCATGCTTTATCTTGACTTCAAAGATTCCAAACCATGATTATTTGCCATAAAATGGTATCAAACAAGATGAATTCTCAAGATATGGTAAGATGAACACATGCATGAGGTAATCTCTTGAAATCAAACTCAAATTGTGCTCCTATGGGCATGCATGCATGATATGATCTTCCTACCAACTCAATAGCTTAATTCTAGATTGACTCAACTTACTCTTATGAATTCATGAGCTAGACATCATAATTGTACCATCTAAGGGTTGAATTCTTATCTAGACTTTTCAAGGTGAGAACTAGAGGCTTAATTCTTGAGTCTCCAAGTCCAATCCTTTTTTTTCCTAGCAATTCCCCTTAGTTGAGCTCAAATCTCTCATTTCTCTCCCTCTCTCACGTTTTTGGGCTCAAGGAGGATGAAATAAAGGTGCAAAAATGATCTCAGAAGTTAAATTAGCCTTATATAGGCTTGATTAAGGAGTTTAATCAATTGAGTTTACCACCAATCAAATGGACATTATTTTATTCTAATTAATTTGTTCCGAATCGAACTTCAATTGAACTTACCATAAATTCCTAAAAATTCCAAATAACTCATATATCAAGTCAATTTCATGATCGGATGCTAATAAGGTCTTTAATTCGCAGAAAAAGACAAAGCACAAACAAATCTTCCTACAATAGACAGATAAAAACACAAATAATGCAACACACATGTAATTAATTTAGAATTTCGTCTTAATTACTTATTGGGCATAATTAATCATGGTTAATTAGCTAATCACATGTCGGGGTTATTACAGTCTTTCCTCCTTAAAGAGTTTGGTCCTCCAAACTCGAATTACCTTCATTTTGGAAGAATATTGGGTTCAACAGAAATAAATCTGGATATCTCTTCATCATATCTTCTTCTGTTTCCCATGTAGCATAAGTTCCTCCATGATTCTGCTAATCAACTTTCACCAACGGATTCCCTTGTTCCTCAATCTCTTGATTCTTCGGTTAACGATCTGAATTGGCCGTTCTTCATACGTATAATCATCCTTCAAAAGTACATGTGTTAGCTCAATAACATGGAATAGGTCCCTTAAATAGTCTCGATGTATTGAAACATGAAAGACATTGTGCATATTTTCCATGATTGGAGGCAAGGCTACCCAATACGTCACCGGGTTAATTTTTTTTAGGATTTCATAAGGCCAACATATCTTGGTGCCAACTTACCCTTCACTCCAAACCGTGTATGGCCTTTCATTGGAGTTACTTTGATAAACACATGATCTCCAACTTCATATTCTTTATCATGTCTTCGGACATCGGCATAACTCTTTTGGCGGCTTTGTGCAGTTTTTAGACGTTGACGTATCAATTTCACTTTTTCAGTTGTTTCTTGCACAAGTTCTGGTCCCAACAATGGTCTATCACCTACCTCAACCTAGCAAATTGAAGATCGACACTTTCTACCATACAAAGCTTCATATGGGGCCATACCGATACTTGAATGGTAGCTATTATTATACATAAATTTGGCCAATGGTAAGAAGGTCTCCCAATTTCTTTGAAAGTCTAACACATACATCCGTAACATGTCTTCCAATGTTTGAATTGTCTGTTCAGGTTGACCGTCTGTCTATGGGTGATAAGCATTGCTTAATCTCAATTCAATCCCCAAAGCTTGTCGCAAACTCTGCCAGAATCTCAAAGTAAACTTGGGATCTCTGTCAGATACTATGGACACTGGAACTCCATGAAATTTCACAATCTCATTGACATACAAGTTAGCTAACTTATCCGCATTATACAAAGATTTGACAGGTAAAAAGTGAGCAGATTTAGTTAATCGATCAACAATGACCCAAATAGAATCCATACCTCAAGAAGAGCGAGGTAGTTCTACAATAAAATCCATGATAATATGCTCCCATTTCCATTCCGGTATTGGAAGCAGCTGAAGTAATCCAGAGGGTCGTTAATGTTTAGTTTTAACTTGTTGGCAATGTAAACATCTAGCCACGAAGTCAGCAATGCTTGTCTTCATTCCAGGCCACCAGAAGTTCTGTCTTAAATCATGATACATCTTTGTGTTTCCCGGATGCATAGCAAATTTGAAATTATGTGCTTCAGTCATAACACGTTTCCTCAAATCAGAATGGTCCGGTACACAAAGTCTATTCTGGAATTTCAGCACACCATTCTCAGTCACAAATCCTGGCTTCGGTTTTGAGCCAATCTCCTCAATGATTTTCTTTAAAAACTCATCTTCACATTGTTTCTCTTTAATTTCTTCAATGATAGCAGGTTGAGCAGAAATGGCAACCAAGATCCCACCTTGTTCATGCAACACTATTTCAATCTCATTCTTCTCCAAGTCACACAACAACTTTCTCCGACCGGTGAGCAAACATGACAAATTTCTAATAGATTTCCGGCTCAATGCATCTGCAACGATATTTGCCTTCCTTGGATGATACAGAATTTCCAAGTCATAGCCTTTTATCAATTCCAACCATCTTCTCTGTCTCATGTTCAGTTCTTTCTGAGTAAAGAAATATTTTAAACTTTTGTGATTGGTATACACTTCACAAGTTACGCCGTACAGATAGTGACGCCAAATTTTCAAAGCAAACACCAAAATCGCCAGTTCAAGATCATGAGTCGGGTAATTATTTTCATGAGGACGGAGTTACCGAGAGGTATAATTAATTACTTTCCCATTTTGCATTAGCACACAACCCAAACCTTTGTAGGAGGCATCACTGTAAATCTAAAACCCATCAATTCCATTACGTAATGTCAGGATAGGTGCAGTTACCAATCTAGTCTTCAATTTCTGAAAGACTGACTCCCGTTGATCGTTCTAGTCAAATGGTACATTTTTCTATGTTAATTGTGTCAATGGCATAGCAAGTTTCGAGAAAATCTTTCACAAATCTTCTGTAGTAGCCAGCAAGTCCCAGAAAACTTCTGACTTCGGACACATTGGTTGGTCTTGGCCAATCAACAATAGCCTCGATTTTCTCTAGATCCATTGTTATGCCATCTTTGTTAATCACATGACCCATAAATGCCACGCTGCCAAGCCAAAATTCACATTTGGACAACTTTGTATACAATTTCTTCTCCCTTAAGGTCTGTAAAGCAATTCTCATATGATTTTCATGTTCCTCCATAATTTTAGAATAAATCAATATATCATCGATGAGCACAACAATAAACTCATCAAGGAATTGTTTGAACACTCTATTAATTAAGTCCATGAATGCTGCAGGTGCATTAGTTACTCCGAATGGCATTACCAAAAATTCATAGTGTCCGTATCTAGTTCTGAATATAGTTTTCTCAACATCTTCTACCTTGACTTTTAACTGATGATAGCCCAATCGAAGATCAATTTTAGAAAATACTTGGGCTTCCTGAAGTTGGTTGAATAAATCATCTATCTGGGGCAATGGATATTTATTCTTGATAGTTACTTTATTCAGTTCCCGGTAATCTATACATAATCTTAAGGACCCATTTTTCTTCTTAACAAACAAAACTGGAGCACCCCAAGGTGAAGTGCTCGGGCGGATGAATTTTTTGTCTAACAGTTCTTGAATTTGGGTTTTCAATTCTTTCAGTTTTGAGGTTGACATTCTGTAAGGGGTCTTAGAAATAGGTTGTGTTCCCAATGCTACTTCAATAGTGAACTCAATTTCCCTATTAACTAAGTCTCCAGGCAAGTCATTCGGAAACACATCGGGAAATTCACAAGCAACAAGAATAGTTTCTACATTAGAATTATCAGAAATCTCAATCAAAACACAACACATGTAACCCTTACATCCCTTCCTAAGCAGTTTAACAGCTTTCATGGTAGAAATCAAGTATGAGGGAGGAATTACCCCATTCCCACTAAACACAAACTCAGGTAAACCAGGTGGACGAAATACTACAGATTTATTCACACAATTAATAGTCGCACAGTGCTTCGTTAACCAGTCTATACCCGTATGCAGTCAAAATGACCAATTCCCAACAGCAATAAGTCAACATACAACGTCACATTTTCAATCACAATATCACATGTTGGATAGACATATACACATACCATAGAACCCCCAGATGGAGTGGATACAGACAATAAATAATTCATAGATTCTAAGGGTCTAGTTAATTTTTGAGAAAAGGCATGCAACACAAATGAGTGTGTAGAACCAGAATCTATCAAGACATACGCATTTTGGGCACAAATGTAAATTATACCTGACACCACAGGCTCGGTGTTCTGTACAGCTCCGGGCACTAGTGCGAATACTCTCCCTTGCTTCAACGTTTCATTCCTAGTGTTACCCTTGACATTAGTTCTAGCATTTGACCAGGCCACCGAGGCAGACCCAGCTGAACTTGCTGCGAGGCGATTGGCATTCTCAAGCCCAAGTGGACAATCTTTCATCATATGGCCAACTTTGCCACACCAATAATAGGCATTAGATGCACGGTGACACACTCTCTTGTGCTTTCTTCTACAATCAGGATAGTTTGGAATAGAGCCACTACTCTGGCTAAAGCTGCTGGAAGATCCCGTGTTCTGTTTTTTTGAAAATGACCGACCCTTCTTGAAATTGTATTCAGGTCTTTTACTTCTCCATTCTGTGGTTGGTGCCTTGGCTTGTTTCATTGCTACTAGGGTGGCTTCCGTCATTATTGCTTTGTCCAAGACTTCCACATAGGTAGGCACCTTCAAGATGCCTACTCGATCAAACACTTCTAAATCCAAGCCGCCTTCAAATTTTCTCGCCTTTTTGTAATTAGTATCCACCATGTGTGGGGCAAACCGAGCCAACTTAGTGAATTTGGCTTCATACTTGGCCACGGACATCCTGCCTTGCTTAAGTTGTTGAAACTCTGACACTTTCCGATCTCTAAAACAATGGAGAAAGTACTTGTTGTAGAATATCTCATTGAATTGAGCCCATGTCATGTTTCCATTGCTATTGTAGATTAATAACCACCATCTTCGGGCTTCATCTTTTAAAGTGTAGGTGGCCAAAAGGACTTTTTGAATCTCAGAGCAAGGAAACACCTCAAATAGTTTCTTCATTTCCAGTAGCCATATTTCTGCCTTTAAGGGTTCAATACCACCAAAGAAGGTTGGTGGTTTCATCTTCATGAATTTCTGAGTAAGGTTGATTAGGTCATTTTTATTGGGTTCAACTTGGACCGGCAGAAGTGGAGGAGGTAAAGGTTGTTGTTGTGTCATTGCTTCAGTTAGAGCTGCAAGCATTTGCTCCATTCAGCTCATGTGAGCCTCTGACGATTCAGCTGTACTGTTACTTCTTGTTTTTTCCATTGCTATTGATAAACAGAACACTTGTGAACATAGGCAAATAGTTCGTTTCACAATGTTTAGATCATTCAATCACGGTCCATTCATTTCTATTTCAAGTATTCATGGTCAAATTCAGTTTCCTCATTTACAAAAATTAGTAAACACACTCATACATACATATGAGATGCCTCTAATGCTTACTAGGACACCTTATAGCTCATATGAACTCATGTGTGTGGTATAACATGTGCTTTGATACCACTCTATCAAGACCCAAACCCACCCCTATAAGTTTAGCGTTGTAACCTGTAACAACCCCGACCTCTAATTAACATTAATTCATGATTAAATAAGCCTAATCAGTAATTAAGGTGAAATTCTGAATTAATTGCATGTATGTGTTGCATTATTGTGCTTATATCTATTTATCGTAGAAATATCTGTTTCTGTTTCGTTCTATGAATTGAAGGCCTTATCATTATCTGATTACAAAATTGACTTGATTTATGTGCTATTTAGGATTTTTAGAACATTATGGTAGGTTTAATTGAAATTCAATTTGGCACAATTAAATTAGAATAATTTAATGTCTAATTGATTAGTTTGATCAACAATTTAATCAAAATTTAACTAAGCCTATATAAGACTCCCATATGTGTTTCACCTCTCTTCTTCAACACATTTTGAGCCTACACAAGCAAACAGACATGAGAGAGGGAGAGAAATGAGAGATTTGAGCTCAACCAAAAAATTTGCTAGAAATTGAAGAAATTGGACTTTAACCTTTAGATTGTACAATTATGATGTATAGGACATGAACTCTAGAGAATTAAGTTGGATGATGCAAGAATTGAGTAGTGTAATGCAAGAATTGAACTTGATGGTTGACTATAGGAGTGTATCATGCATGCATGCATATGTCATGGCATTTTGAGTAGTTTTCTAAAGAATTTTCACATGCATGTGCTTATCTTGACTTGGTTTTGAGAATTCATCACATTTCTTACCATTTGACCTTAATTGATCATGGTTTGGAAAGCCTAAGCTCAAAGTAATTCATGCATGTCATGTTCATGGCATATTCATAATTTCAAGTTGGAGTTTTGATAAATTGGCATGCTTTAGGGCCTTGATTTAGTGAAATGATCTTCAAATCATGGTATTTTACAAGTTTCTAAATGTTTTTTGGAATTTTGGCCCAAAAATATGAGTTTTAAGGTGTGTGATTCGAGTTTGGAGCTTGGGAGTGTAATTTGGAAATTCTAGATTCTGCACTTCCGCTCGAGCAACAAGTCCGTGATCTTACACTTCCACTCGAGCGACCTGAAGTCCGCTCGAGTGTGAAATGCAAGCTCTCAAAAGTTTACACATTTTGTAGACTGCTTGAGTGATAGAAGATGTGCTCAAGCGGGGACCTCAGTCTCACGCTCGAGCGACCGTCGAGCGGTGTTGGCACGAAGATTTCACACAACCAGTACTTTTGTAGAATTTACAGACCACTTGAGCGAGGGAATCTGTGCTCGAGCGACCCCTCACATTTTTGCATTTCTGCTCGAGCGAGGGAAGTTGCACTCGAGCGTGACCCTTGTTTTCAGCAAGTTTTGTTAAATGTGTTAAAGTGTATTTTGGCATCCACATTGCATCCTTGGCATTCCTAGGCCATGATTAAGACTCAATAAGAGGTTAAGACCTAGAAACACACTAAGAACGAAGCGAAAGAAGTTAACTACCAATCGAGTGTGTGTTTCTATTGTATACATATGTAGGTCACGCGCCACAAAGTTATCTGATTTGTCTATTCCGCAAGTGGAGCCATTTGTGAATAATAACTCTGTAAAGTTATGTTAACTTTAATTATTTTCTGATACTATGAAATGATCAGTTTTCTGAAATGTGATGTTTTGTATGAATAAATGATTGTCCAAATTTCTAAAATGTGTTCGTGGCATTCTTAGCACAAGGCCCTTGCCCGGGGTAATAATACTGTGGTCTATAAGTATAAGGCCCTTGCCCGGGGCTAACAATACCGTGGTCTCATGGCCCTTGTCTGGGAGTAATAATACTGTGGTCTCAAGGCCCTTTCCCGGGGTTAATAATACTGTGGCTCAATTATATTATAACTTTCCCTATATTAAAGGTTTCTTATGGAACTGACAAGCATGATAACACTAATGGATGTACCATGTATGATGAAACATGAACTCTGATTTCTGTATGTAGTTTGAACAAGAATATGAATATAAATATATTCCTGATACGAACTCTGATTTCAAAATCTGTTATGGACATCATTCATTTAAACCCTTTACTTTGTTATTATTCACTGGACTCCCGCCCACTATTTATTTTATATATGTAGGTGAGCAAGCGCGTGACCAGGCCTAAGCTGCTGCCTGGAGTGTTTTGAGTCAGCCAACCACTGTGCCTCTTGGGGAGGTTCCTTTTTGAGAAGTCAAGTTCTATGAACCTCATGAAGGTGTTTTTGTTGGTTGTTTTGCTTATCTATATCTTGGGCTAAGTCCCTTATGACATTATATGTATGGTGATACAAGTCTTGTGGAAGTTTGACATTGTATAAGTTTAAAACTTATTTGTCTTATGTATGTCTTCATAGCTCTATGGACCTTGTATTTCGTATAATTGCTTCCGTAACCCCTTATATTTTGTCATTTTGTTAAGAGGCCTTTGGTAATCCCAGGATTACTAGCCGATTACGTCGCTAAACCTATAGGAGCGGGTTTGAGTCGTGACATAACCAGCCAGTAATCCTTGGATTACCAAAGGCCTCTAAACAGAATAACTTATAATTAGGGGCTGCGAAAGCAAATATAAAACCATACATAGTCCATTGAGCTGTGGAGACATATATGGGACAGAAATTTTAAACCTTCTACACATATATGTGACGTCATAATGTAGGTCTTACGACGTTCATTACAGATATAGCCAAAAGGGACTTAACCCAATATACAGATAACAGAAAACTTGTTCATAATTCAAAGAAGACAAGGTCTTAAAAATAAGCCATTTAGACTTGACTCGCTCACAAAAGGGAACCTCCTCGGAGGCTCAACGGCTGGCTGACAAAACTAAGACACCAGGTCCTCAACTTTGAGTCTGGTCACGCGCCTGGTCACCTACATACATAATATAAATAGCGAGCGGAAGCCCAGTGAATAATAACAGAGTAAAGAATTTAAATAAGTGATGTCCGTCGCAGATATAACTTTCAAATCTCTTATTGAACAGAAGCATAAACAAATTCGTATCAGAAACAGAGGCATAAGCATATTCATATCATGAGTGGTGTATCCGTTATCATTAAACTTATCTCTTTGGTCAAGCATATTAAGTTCCATATTGGAACCTCCGGTACTGGGTAACATATCACATACGTGGGCCACGATATTGTTTCCCTTGGGCGAGGGCCTGTGCCACGACATTATTTCCCCCGAGTGAGGGCCTTGGCCACGGTATTGTCTCCTCTGGGTGAGGGCCTCATGACCATAAGCCACAGTATTATGTCCCCTGGGTGAGGGCCTTTGCTAAGGATACCACAATTACATTTCACAGGAGTGGATCATCATTCATGTAATCACATCATTTTCTTTTCTATCATTCAAAACAAAACCATTCTTATCATATCAGAATATTCAGAAAGTATTTCATATCGAACATAGCTTTACTAAGTTATTACTCACAGATAGCTTCACAGATAGCTTGATAGCAAACCAATGGATCAACAACTCAGGGTGCCTGACCTACATCAACATAACAGATACATATACTGAAACACATGCTTGGACTGCACATAACTCATTTCATTTTGTTGTTAGTGTGTTTCTAGCCTTTACTCTCATTATTGTGTCTTAATCTTGGCCTAGGAATGCCTAGGATGCAATGAGGATACCAAAATGCACTTGGAAACACTTAACAAAACTTGCTGAAAACAGGGGTCCCGCTCGAGCGCAACTTCTCTCGCTCAAGCGGACATGCAAACATGTGAAGAGCTGCTTGAGCGCAACTTCCTTCACTCGAGCAGTCTGAAAACTCTAAAAAAGTACTGGTTGTGTGAAATCTCCGCTCGATGGTCGCTCGAGCGTGAGACTGAAGTCCCTGCTCGAGTGTAGCTTCTGTTGCTCGAGTGGTCTATAAAATGTGTCAACTTCTGGGAGCTTGCATTTCTCACTCGAGCGAACTTCTTGTCGCTCGAGCAGAAGTGCAAGATCACAGAGTGGTCGCCCGAGCGTAAGTTTTGTCGCTCGAATGGGTGGTCAAATTCTAAAATTTCCAGATTCACCTCCAAGCTGCAAAACTCAATTTCAAACTGTAAATCATGATCTTTTGGCCCAAAAACTTGAGAAAACTTATATAAACTTAGAAAACATGGTGAATTACAGATCATTTCACAAAATCAAGGCCCAAAAGCTTGCCAATTGTGCAAAATAACTCTTTATTTCTTTGAAAACATAACATGTATAACATGCAAGCTTTATCTTGACTTCAAAGCTTCCAAACCATGATCATTTGCCACAAAATGGTATCAAACAAGATGAATTCTCAAAATAATGGTAAGATGAACATATGTATGAGGGAATCTCTTGAAATCAAACTCGAATTGTGCTCAAATGGGCATGCTTGCATGATATGATCTTCCTACCAACTCAATAACTTAATTCTAGATTAACTCAACTTACTTTTATGAATTCATGAGCTAGACATCATAATTGTACCATCTAAGGGTTGAACTCTTAACTAGACTTTCCAAGGTGAGCACTAGAGGCTTAATTCTTGAGTCCCCAAGTCCAATCCTTCTTCTTCCTAGCAATTCCCCTTAGTTGAGCTTAAATCTCTCCTTTCTTTCCCTCTCTCACATTTTTGGGCTCAAGGAGGATGAAATGAAGGTGCAAAAATGATCTTAAGGAGTTAAATTAGCCTTATATAGGCTTGATTAGGGAGTTTAA